GGTATGCTCTGTTTTTGACAAGCCCATGTTGGCTTCTGGTTATAACTTTCCTTGCTTCTAGATATTTGGAAATCTGTTTCTTGATGATCTTTTCCAGGATCTTTCCAAATATTTATGTCAGGCTGACAGGTCTGTAGTTTCTTGCATCTGTTTTTTTTTTCTTTTTTTTGAAGATGGAAACCACATCAGCTCTTTTCCTGTCCTCAAGTAGTTTCCCAGTGCAAGAACAAGAAAATGATCACGAAGCCAGCTGGTCACTAGTCCAAGGCAGAAGATTGGGAAATAAATAAATAAAATGCACAAATATAGTTATGTCAGCACATAATAGAACCATATGAAGGTCATGGGATTAATATACCCCTGGAACTAGAAAGGAAATACTATGTCTGTGTACATGCATACAAACTTACATTCTAATATGTTAGACTGTGAAGATCATAGGTTTTTCTGTCTAAAAATGGGAAAGTTTAGCATTTGTTACTGTTGTCCAAAGGATGTGTGAGCCTTTCTGATACTCTCAATGATTTTCCTTCTGGCTGTAGTCTCTGTGCTGATGAGGCAAGTGGAAGAGCTAAAGTTCACAAGGACATGCTGAAAAATGAACAAATTGATGCGTCCAGAAAGCAATGAAAACCAAACTACAGGAAATGGAGTCTAAGCATTTACTTCATCATTGCCAATAAAGTACAATTTAAGGTATCTTCAAACAAGGGAATTCAAGTCAGAGTGTCTTATTTGAAGCATACTACTTTCATTTTTATGTTCATTTAGTCTGCTGGTTTTTTAAAAATGTTTTAGAATTTGCTTTGCTTTATGTATCTCCACTAGGCTTCTATGTATTATTTTGTAATATAGTCAGTCAGCAGTAATTTAACAATGCATTCAGTATCATCATGAATAGATTGATGAGCCTGGCTTAATCACTGTTTTCTAGCTGCTTTGCCTTCTTTCCACATCTTGAGATTCTGAGTGAATTCAGGAAGGCCAGAGCGGTTTATAGCCATTCTTCAGAACCTTTTCATATCTAGTTCTCATAGAACGCATGTTTCAGGGATGCAGCCCACCTGTTCACAAACAAAGTCCTTTGAAGGAGATAGAAACAAAGATAAAGATAATGAAGTCCATCTTGCTTTTGCAATGTGCAGAGCCTCTATTGGGATGAATGATCAAAGTTAATAAATGGTTGAAATCTATGTCTATTGTAGGACTGTAATTACTGAGAAGACTATATAGTCTGTTAACAGTTGCTGCTGAAAGCCTTAACTGCCAGCATAGTTGTTGGCTTTTTGTTCAATGCTCCAAAAATGATTGCCTTTTTTCTTTCACTGTCCATATTCACATCAGTTTACAACTGCAACAGGAATAAAGCATGATTAAGGGAAGATGCAAAAGTCACAATACAATAATCACACAAAAGTTTTTAGAATTCCTTTAAGTTACTGTGGAGCAATGTTAGGTCACAAATGTAAGATGTCTGAATGAATGAAAGTCACATGCTTGACAAGACTTGACAAGACTAATCTTGAGCGTAAGACAAATCAGAGAGAAGTTAAAGAGAGTATTAATGAACTGCTAGTACAGACAGACTTGTTAATCATCTCTGTAATTCAGAAATAAGTCGGATGAGCTGAAGAAGTTACCAAAGACTCTGAACTAAATTCAGATTAACATTTTGGATTGCCTGACATATCCCCCACCCCCCACCCGCTTTTCCTCTACTTCAAGAATACTAAAGAGCTGGAATGCAGTAATGATGTGAGTGCTGTACAGTAGGACTTGCTTCATTTTCTAAGGATTTATGCATTAAAAACAACACCAAATTTCTTACCATCTTTCCATAAGACAGAGGTGCAATGTAAAATATCCCATAGAAGAAAAATGTTTCTTCTACCTAATAGCAGGGTAGACAATAGCCTTTCCTAAATGGAGGCAGATAGCCTAAATCAAGACCAATTTCTACATGCTAAAGCTGTTCATTAGAAATATCAGCAACAGGGAGGAAAACCATTAGAACTCAAAAGCATACAGAGTTATCTTTCTTTTGTTAATAAATTACTTCAAAAAGATAAGTGTATACTGAGAGGCTAGGAGGTAATAAAGATGCAGAGATTCTTCCATTCTACAATTAAATTTGATTCTACTATAATCAGAAACAGATCTTGCCAAAGTGTGCCAAGGCATGTCCACAGATTCCTGGAATCAGATGGAAATACCTCAATAATTGTTGCTCGAAGTAGTAATAAATAGTAAATAAAGTTTATCTGGCAAATCTTGACTAATGGGTAAGGCAAGGCAACTGACTAGCATTTTAAAAATTATGCTGCAGGAGGGTTACTATGTATTCATTATTGCTTTGGTTTTACACAATCCTGTTCATTTTGATTCCGAAGAAAGTTAATTGGGTTGAAAGAAGTGTGTTTTGAAGTTCCACTCTTAGACTGCAATGAATGAACAATTTCACAGCTAAAGAAACAAAGGGGAACAACTTAAAATACATCCCCTGAGCATTCTTGGCTGCTATTAAATTTTACAAAGTAAAGAGCAGGATAATTTATCATGGATTTCTCAATGTTAAATTTTGTTTGTTATGTATCAATGGAACACAAAAAATAGATATTGTATACATGGTGATTCAAATAAAATGAATTTTTGAAGTTTCTGATGGGGAATAATAGCGGGCTGGTGCAAGGATAGCAACCACAGCTGAGAACTCTCACTAGGATGCCTATTCTACACAGCACAATCTTCCTGAATCAAAGAGGATGAGATAAACTAAGTGTGCTATGGACCTAATTGAAGAAATGGGGGGAAAATTGCAATCATTCCAGGAGCTGAGATGCTGGGAAACCTATAACTGCATTAGAGCAGAAACTGACATTAAAATCTTCCTTTTCCCCAGTTCTTAATCATTTCAGGAAGTAATCAATTACAGATGAAGAAATATTTCTTCTGTAGCGAAGATCAAGTTTTGCAGTGAGTTAAATCTTCTTATGAGATTACAAGAAAACCAACAACCCAACAAGGGTAGATTTAGACTTAAGAACTATATGCAAACAATTAAGAATAGATACAAGAAAGTTTTTAAAATGATATTTTAGTTCTTGAAATATTGAATAGACACACAAATGAGTGCATTATAGGCATAAAGAGTCATACCAGAACTTTTGTGGATGAATTTTGGAGAGCTCTTTATAAGGAATTGAACTTCTAATGAGAAAGCTAGAAGAATTTGGGGCATTGGTTGATTTCAATATTAATAAACCAAAGCCAAAGAAGTTAACAAAAATATGAAGAGAAAAGATTAAATAGAATAAAATGGATTTTTAAGATTTAGAAGAAGATAAAATATCTGAATATAACTATGACAAATATAAATTGTATGTTATTTGTTATTTGAACATTAAGCACTGAATAAAGTTTAAAAACATATGTTAAGATAGGACCAATTACAATTGTCATTGTTGGGGAAATTTGTATGGAAGGTGGGAAAACCCAAATTAAATGTAAAGTACATGCATACAGATAAAAAGGAAAGTTGGTCTAAGAGATTTGAAATTATATTTTGCTATCTGATATTTAGTTTGGATAAAGGAATGTGTATTAAGGAATAGAAGGTTATTGAAGTAAGAAGGACATGATTTAAGATTTGGGTGGCAAGGACATTTATTATATGACAAAGCTAAGGTGAATGTAGATAAAAATCAGTATGTCAAGCAGGCCATTCTCAGAGTATGGAATAAATACAAAGAAGAATAAATGAAAGAATATATATATGGGCTGATATATGGGCTGAAAACTTTAGTTAAAATATATAAATGGAACAATGGGAAACATATGACTGAAAGGTTTGAAATGTACATTGTGTTCTAACCTTTGAAGGTGCTTTGAATCTTTGCTGAAAATGTGAACAACATGAAGGGAAATTTTATTATGTTTGATGGATATGTAAAAAAGCCAAATGTTTTTTGATACAAATATTTCCAAAAATTCAGGTTTAAAAATTAAAGTTCCACTGAAAACAGAGACTTTGCTTTTGAGACTAATGGACAGGCAACTAAAAAGTCATGAAACTTTGTTTCTATATATGTCAGCTACAAGATGATTATATGTTCAAAAGTGGAAAGGTCTATCTGCAATGGAGGAACGGTTGGTTAAGTTGATGGAAAGATGGTTAAATTAACTTCTTTTGATAGAAAAACAGCATTCTCTACATCTAGGATTGAATTAAAATCCCTTATAGACTATTTGCAGAAAAGATGCACTTATGACTTGTGGGTTTAATGACTGGAAAAAGTGAAAAAGAAAAAAGAGGGTCTTTTTGGTAATCATAGACTAAGATATAATTTTGTAATCAAACATATAGTTGCAGCAGAGGAACTTGGAAGCTTAGTTCTGTTTCTTTTTATTCTTTCTCACTGCATTTTTGTTTTCTTGTTTTTCTTCTTTCTCTTTTCTTTCTTTGTTCTATTTTGCATTAGTTTGTGTTAATTTTTATGTTTTTTAAAACTTTTAATAAAATTTATTATAACGAAAAAATTAAATGAAATGTTTCAATTGTTGTTAGTAACATTATATGTAGTCCACACTGAGATTGCCACAGTTAGCTGAATTATACAATCAAAGCAAGCTGGTTATTCTTCAAGCAAAACACATAAACTCGAACACATTACAAGAAGGCTTAATATCAACCATAGACACAATAGGGCTGAGCCCTATTCCTCAAAGTTAAGCTTGTGAGATCTAATATACAAAGAGAGCCCCATGTTCAGCAAGAATATCTGCATCAAAAAACCCTTCACCATAATACAGCTATATGTCTTTTCAAATCCTAATGTTATCTTTTTAAAGTTTAAATGGAAGTCTTCATGCTTTTTTGGTCCACACATCCTCACTGAACATATAGATACCTTTGTTGATGAGGTGACAAAGAATACAGGAAAATAGGTCACATTACAAAGTGGTTGCCTGAACAGAGTTTTTTGAAAGGAGGATAAAGAAACAGAGGACAATACCTTCTTCGCATTAGGAGGAAGGTCATCAGTGGATGAGTCCATTTCTGGTTTGGATTCTTCAGTCTTCTTTCCTGCATTTTCTTCATCAATAGAAACAACTTTTTCAGTTATGCTACTTGTCAATTCTTCTGATTTTCTCCTCAGTTCTTTCTCTTCTGTGCTACGATCAATGCAGGAATCAATACCTAGAGGCTAGTGAAATAAAAGTAAGTCATTCTCAATCATATGTTCTAGCTGGCTTATTCCAAGTCTATAAAATGTGCATCTTTTTAACATGGGATTAAGGAAACCTAAATCTCATCATGCGGTAGGAATTAACTAATCAATTTCCCTCCATGAATGTTTGGATTACTGTCTTAACTACACAAGATACCGAGACATCCATTCCTATGAACAGCAGAAATGGTACAATGAAGTCTAGTAATGTACAGTATTTCTTTCTCATCTACTTTAAATGAAAGACCCATAATGAGGCAGAAAATCTTAGTGGGTTAAGCACCTATTTACATTTGGAACCTCTTGTCTCCGCCCCTGGTGATATGCTCTATTTATACTATAAAAACATCTTACTTTCCCAGTTTAAAAACTGAAAGAATTAGTTAAGCCTGTGAGCAGCACTGAGGAATATTGGTCCTGGGCTCTTCAGAGAAAGATAGAACTAGACAATTGTCCTGAGGCTTCTGCACTAAGTAAGCGGGCAAGGTGCTGAAGCACTGCTAGGAATAAAGAGCAGTTTGGCATCTATTAAAGAGCAACCCAGAATGCCTGAATAACCCTGCAGATAGATCAGGCTGAATGAGCATAGCTGAGTAAATGGCAACCTGGGCGTATGTATAACACTGTTCTTGATTTTACCTTCTCAGAGTGAACTAGAATCTTTTCCTCAAGACAGCTAAGCATACTTTCAATAACAGAGATGCGTTTGTTCAGTTCAAGTATCTAAGAGAGAAGAAAGAAGATAGCAAAGGACAGTGCCCACCACCACAATTTTTCTTAGCAGTTAAAGGAGAAATAAACAAATACAGAGCAATACTAGTTCTCATAACCTTGATGGACTAAAGATCATGATTTCACTGAATAGAAAAAAAACATTTTAGAAAATGCTGGAACATTATAATAATAATTAACAATAACAGAATGTAACAATTAAATAACTGTCAAGGAGGAAGGCTGTATATACTTAAAATACACATTTAAATGTGTCTCCCATTTTGTTTTTTGTACATGACCTCTGAATTAAGATCTCTCCTTTGAAGGAAATAACATCCTCACTTGTCAAGTAATAAGGCAGCTTGTATCTTGTGACTTGCTCTACAAACTCCAATGAACAACTTTTGATATTTAGCTGACACTACTGGCAAAATCCATGCTATATTTACACTTTAATATCAAATTATTGTTTATAGAGCTGATGTTTTACATCAGGTCAAGCTAATCTTACACCATGATCTCAGGTCTTCACACAGACTTATAAAATGGAAGGTTAACAGATTTATTTATTTATTTATTTTGAAAGTTTTATTTGGGTTTTCACAAAACCAAAATACAAATAAAACATCTTTTTTGAAAATAGCATGGTCCCAGGTTATCACTTCTTCATACAGACACAAAACTCAATTTCATGCTCATTTTTATATTCTATTCCATATCTTATTACCGTTTTATATTTTCTACGTAGTTTTTCCCCTCTTTTAATTTTCTCAACTTTATTTTAATTATCTCACCTCAATCAAATCATTATAGTTATACTTTTGTCTGTCCTGTTTCAATTTCATATTATCTTTTCTTATTAAACAATTTTTTCCCTGTAGTTACCAATTGGAGTATGACACCTTTATATCTTTTAATTTTATCCATTCAAACTCTTATTTAAGCTTCAATGTATATCTTTAAGATTATAGCATTCAATATAATACATAACTTCCAATCGAATTCTGCTTGGTACATTCTTAAAATACACACTATATTCTTAAAAAGAAAAAAAAATATATGTGTGTGTGTGTGTGTGTAAATAAAGCACACATTCCATTCCAATTCAATTCTATCATTAACATTCATTAAAATCTTAACATCTTTAACATTTATTTTCAATTAAATATCATACTTCCTTGGGAACACTTATAAACTTTCCATAGTAAATTCTTTTTTTCCATATTTCTCACTTATATTTTTATAAATCATTACTAATAATTAAAAATGTTCCCATTTAATTCTCTCAATCATTTTAATTCATTTATTTATTACCAAACATTCAACTACATTACAGTAAATATTTTATCCATCATTTTAATCATATTTTCTAAAATTATTTCTGTTTATAATATAACAATGCTATCTTATGTACCTTTGCAGAATCCCTTTTGTAATTAAATTTTCACCCATTATCTCTAAACAAGCTTATGGTTACAATCCTTATATCTTTTCCCTGTTTCTCCATTTCTTGTTTCTGTCTTTTACAACTTCTTTTCCTTGCCTTCTTCGCCCTCTTCTTCTCCCTCCCCTTTTTACCCCCTCGTCTCTCTACTTCTAACTCTCTCATCTTTAATCCCCTCTTCTGTTGCTTTCTAATATTATACTTATTTTTCAAATTCTTCTTCTTCTTTTTGGTTGTTTTTTCTAGTCTTAAACCTTTCACTCTCTTTCCCCCCTTTTCTCCCCCCACAACTTAAAATTATTTGATCATTAAAGATGGCTTCTTCTTTGTCCCAATCTTCTAGTTCTGCAAGCGTTTCTTGTTGTTTCTCATAGTTCCAGATCTCCATTTCTAAGAATTGAAATATGAAGCCAAAAGAACCTCACCCTTCTTGTGCATCTTCTTTCCATTTTTTAAGTTCCATTTTCAGTTCTTCTAAGAGTGATACCATTTTAAAGACTTTTAAACAACCACCCGGTTAATTTTAGTCATCCAGATGCAAAAACCAAAAATTTAATTAAAGATTTAAAGATTTAATTTTAAAATCAAACGTGAATTAGGAAAGAGGTTTGTCTTTCATGACAGGGACTGCTTTTCCTCTTTTCTGGTTGGGAGAACTCAGACACTGATAGTTGGAGAAATGGAACTATTCTGCTGTGGTAAGGGGAACGTGCTCAGAATGACTGAATGTCATAAAGATTGCCAATAACACAAGAAGTTATTATTTCTTCCTTAAGGATGAGATACTCAATAACAAGTCTCCCACAATGGGTGGGCTATGAGTACCTGCAAATACCAATTCCCTGGAAGTCTACCACTTACCCAACTGACGGATTCTGTTAGGCTGGAGAAAAATCAGACTAATGTTTGTTATGCATCTCTAACTGAAACCATGAACATTAGTTCTTAGGTTCTTCTTTCACTTCAATCTGGAATGTTTTGAATAGGTTGAGGGGCCTTGATGAACATCTGGAGTGCAAAATTGCCTGTGGTGCTTTTAGCTAAATGATGAACATGGTGAATAATACGGTTACATACACCTAAACACTAAACACATTATGAGGACTAATAACATTATAAAGAGCAGGAACAATAGAATTATAGCTGTATCTCAACCCAATTCATTATATCGTAGCATCTATATCTCTGCAGCTAAAAACAAAGTTGTTTTTTTCCTCATAAATCTAAATTATGAGGTACATTAAGTATGTAATAGAAGCTTGATTCTGACTGAAGCATTTTCCCCAGTCATCTCTATCAAAGCTAGCCTGCTCAAATAAATTTATGAAAAGGTCATACTTTGTAAGTTCCATCTTAGAACTTTTCATATTTCAGTGCAATGATGTTCATGTCAAAAACATGTTCTCATTCAGTCGGCTACTTAAACCAAATAATGCTTAAAATATATGACAACTAATCTCAGGAGATTTTCAAGCCACAGAATAAAAAAATTGAATTATGATTTTTTTTGCTCAGTATTTATTAAAATAAGATTTCCCTCAAAGTTGTTTCATAGCTCTGTGTAGAGAATTTTTTTTCTTTTCCCTTCCTAGGAGAAATGAATTTCCTAATCTGATTAAATAAAACATGTGAATGCTTAATAACCAATCTTTATGAGCTACTTAATAACCAATCTTTATGAGCTACTGTATTATTACTGGGGGAGGAAAGATTTTTTTTTAAGAGGGTCCCCTTTTCTAGTCCAAAATCATGCTCCTATTTAAGATGCTCTCTCCATAGTAGGCCACATGGAGAAAACTACACACACTTTAAAATTAATGGCTTCTATCGAATGAGCATTTCTATAAAAATTCATGGACTTGTGGGAAAAAAGGAGGAAAATAAAATGAAATATGGTGTATTTTTATGACTAGAAAAGAACAAAGGTGGAATTTGGTAAACCTGTTAGTTCCAGAATAGAATTTGCCAGTAGTGCTAGATTAAGAGTTAGAAATAGAGTTCTCATTTTACTGACCTCTTTTTATTGATTTATTTGTTTGACTGATAGGGTTTCAAATCAGAAAGAGACAAGGCAACTTATATTTTAAACTCAATAAAACATTCATAAATGAAAAAAAAACACATAGAAATGAAATGAAAAAGCACATAAAACATACAGAAATGAAAAGAAAAATCACTATGGAAAAGCACATAAAAATAATTTCAGCCATACCTCACCAGTCATGATTTGGCAGAATTACAAAATACCTCAACTCGTACCATTTTTGAAAAGTCAAATTTTCAATGACTTTCTAAAGCAAAGCAGGATAGGGTTGAATGGACCTCAGAGGGAAAGGTATTCCAGAAGGACTCCAGGATCCCACAAGATGGCACTGATTACCCTGCCAGGACTTATAGGCTTATAGGCATTGGCAGTAGAAGAAAGATGATCCCATAGATAACCAAGCTCTGAACAATCTAGAAATGGGGTTTCAAACTTGCAGCATCATGTTGCCATCACATGACATTTTGCAACGTTTTCCCTATTTGCAGAACTGGGATGTGGTGTGGCCTGCACGTGACGCATCTGGCCGATGGGCCGCCAGTTTGACACCCGTGATCTAGAGCTTCATATATGATAACCAGCACATTGAACTGATCCTGGAAAACTAGTAATAAGTGTAGCCTTGGACATGTAAGTATTACTCTAGAATAATGATGTGTACCCCTAAACTGCTTATGCAGTCACATTCTGGACCAGCTGTAACTTCTGAAATCTTAACATATGCAAGCTACGATTCATGAGGGGGCAAATGAATGAACATTGCATAATATTACACAAGGCACTATTCATTACAGAACTTGTAAATTTAATTTAACAATGGAAAATAACAATGGAAAATATGAGTTGCATTGGTTCCAAAACATTGTGATAGTATTGACTTAAATGTATACTGACTCCAAAAGTTAGTTTACAAACATACTCTATATCTCATGTCTTTTTTTAAAAAATATTAAAAATAAACTTTATTAAAGATTAAAAAGAAAAACATATACACATTTATAATTTGGATTGTATTCAGAATGAAAGTAGATGATTTCCTGTAGTTTCAATAAAATACTAGATTTATTTTGTACCTTGTGGTTTTATTGATCAATTTTATATTGAATATTTTATAGCTTGTACCCATTTCAATCTATGAACTGTATTCTTTGTCTCTGAACATATAAAAGTTTTGTCATCTGAGTGGTGAATAGAAGCAACAGAAATTATTTAATTCTTTATGTGGCTGGGAAACATACTTTCTGTTAGCATTGTCCATAAAACAATGGCTTGGTCTCAACCAATGAATTTTTATATAGATAGTCCTTGAGCTATGTTTGGCGACAGCTCAAAGTTACACCACCAGACAATTGACGGTTATGACTAGTCCTTGGAGTTCTGTCCATCCCAGCAACTTCATGGTCATGTGACCATAGTCTGGGTTCTTGGCAACCAGTTCATACTTATGATCAGTTGCAGCATCAGAACAGATGCACATGATTGCCATTTGCAGTCGTCCCTGTCGGTTTCTTCAGAAAATCAATAAGAAAGCCAGCAGGGAAGGTCACAAGTCTGCTATAAATCAAGAGCTAACAGTATTTCAACATTTTTCCATACATGAAAAATATTATAAAATAATATTGAATAAGTATGCTGAGAAAACAATCATGGCCTTGGTAATAAATATCTTTGTTGGCAATGTAATATCTGTGCACATAAATTTTGTCTATATTTCTCCAAGAAATAAATGTCACTTTATTTCATGCCTATGGTTCACTTCCCTTTCAATTTTTGAGCTCAGTTCGATAAAATTTGTTACTAATTCCACTACTTTTACAATTATTGTACAGATATTCTTCATCTTACAACCATAACTGAGCCCAGAATTATGTTCTGTAAGCCATTGTGGCTTCATGTCGAGGTATCACGTGTAATTTTTTGACAATTTTTGCAGGGCCTGTTAAACAAATTAATATTTCCCATTGGGTATTTTTGGTCAGAAACTGGAAGTAAATGCCAGAAACTGACAAAATATATATATATGGAAAGTTGCAAATGGCCATAAAAGTGAGACAGTTACCAAGGACCTAAAAACTTGATCAAATGACCATGGCCTGTCTGTGTGGCCTTTGTAACTTTGAACAGTTGCTAAAGAACCCATCATAAGTCAAGGAGTACTTGTATTTGCATTGAACTGAGTTGATAAAATTGGGTTTATTATGTAATACTGACCATCAGATTGATTTTTGTGCCTTGTCTCTCACCTTCAACTAGGGTTCCTTAAATCTTTCCCATTTCCAGTCACTAAAGTAATATTCATCAGCTTTAACAAGTGTTGCAAAAAAGGTAATAAAACTGGGCACAATTCACTTAACAACCACTTTGCTTAACAATGGACATACTGGTCGCAATTGTGGTTTTAACTTGAGGACTACCTGTATACTTCTATCTGTAATTGTTTCATTATACTATTCCCTATTTTCTTCACTTTGGCGTCCTTTTATTTTGGTTTGAGTTTTATTAGAGTTCCCAAAACAAATTCTCCAAAAGAGAAAAATATAGGATATAACTAAGCACAGAAGCTATCCAATATCTAATTTACCTGATTTCCATTTCCTTGTGAAGATGCTGTGCTCCTGTGTTTTGTGTACCGTGGCTGATAGATGAACGTTTCTTGAGCCTCTTTTTCATCTTCATCAGAAGTATCCACCTTAGCTGAGTACTGGAGTTGGGGCTGCATATTCCATGGGCTGCCTTTGGGAACAGAAGAGGATTGGACAATTTGGTGATCAGATCCATAATTACCTGATTCACTAGTAACATTTTGTGTTTTCACAAGAATTTGAGGCAAAAGAGGGGAATGAAGACAATAAAGAAAAATCAGCAAAAGCACTTTATGATATTATAGGGCTCACGCGAGATTTAAAATATTCTTGAACTGGTATTGTAAGATTCAGGTTTTTTTTTTACCAACTCAAACCCTGATGCAAATTGAGAAAAAAAATATAAGCACATGAAACAGAAAAACAGTTGAGTGAATTCAGGCCAGTCTGTTTCCCTAAACCTTAAGAAAGGAGGCAAGGTCAAACCACTTCCAAAAATTTTGCCAAGAAAACTGCAAGCACTTAGCCTGGGCAACTGCCAGGAGTCAACAGTGGCTTTTAGGCACCATAAGGGGAAAAAAAATCTCTGTAAACCTTAAGCAATTTAGAAGAAATGCTTTTTACCCATTACAGATGCTAAGATTGAGATAAATGTTTTAGCTATACATTTTAATTGGAGTACCATTAATAAAGGCAGTGTTGTAAACCTTATTTGTGACCTTATTTGATTAGCATCCTCTCTTAGCTGGCCCTGTTATCTGAACCTGGCAAGACCCTAATCCGTTTCATTCTAAAGATTTTCTTTTGCTTCCTAGTTGCTCAAGGGTCAAACTTGCTAATAAGCTAAGCCAACAAATGATGCTAAGGTTTTCCTTTCAATGTGTGTTCCCTATTGTTATGTTTGCTATCTTTCTTGTAATCTCCTCTCCCCAATGGGTGAAACTACACAATTTCCCCTTGCTAGTTACTCTAGAACTAAAGTCAGGATTCCAAAGAGCAGGGGGACAGGGGGAAGAGCTGTAAGATTTACTTCTTTTTTTCCAGCTTCCTTGTTAGTTGTGTTCATGCCCTTTAGGCTTACTGGCTGTTTAGGGCTGTATTCATCTGATGCTCTAATGGTCTTTGATGCAGGGACAATTCCTTAATGAATCTTTTTTTAATATATATTAACCTCTTGGCAATTTCTGCTATGTTCCCATTGTTTGGTATCCATCCTGCAAATTATAAATTAAGCATTGATTCACAGATTGATGGCAACACTGGGCAATGGAAATGAATTTGAGAGGCAGAGTAAGATCTACTTTCTTGATATGAGCTTTCATATTCGAATTTTTACAAGGGCACATGGTGATTAGATTATTTTCAAGTCAAGCAGACACAATTCTTCCAAATTAATAAACTTGGGGACTGGAGCAGAATAGTATGTTATATATTGGGACAGGTTAATCCAAATGATTCTGTTACTCATGTAATTTCTCTTAGAGTCAAATCAAAGAAAATATTATATAAATGCAGTGGAAAAGTCAGCGATGAAATCAGATTGAAAAGAGCAGATAATGATATATACAATGGAAGAACTGATATCAAAAGCACTTTGGGGGGTTGTTTTTTTTTTTTTTTGCTTTGGTATAACTTTACATGGGATCGATAGATTTTCTTGCCCCTCCTGATTTCTTTAGTTTTTACAGATCTACAACCAAATACTAATTAACTAAAGCAAGAAACAGCTACATGAAAAATGCAGAAAAATACGACTTGTGAAGCCAAGAGAAGGATGAGTTGTGAAAGAGAAAGGCAAAAGATTACTCCATGGGTAAAGGATAGAGAAACCAATATGAAGTGGAGCATTGGGGGCAGTTAAAATAGAAAGGAACAAAAGCTTGGAAAGGGACAGCAAGAAAATACCTGGTTTCCTGAAACAAGCTGTCCTTGTTGTTTCCCATTTTCGCCACATCTCTTTTCCACCTGACCCAACCTCTGAGAGACTGAATCATTACCAGTAGTGGGAACCCAACATCAAAATGCAGAAGCTCCTTCCTTTCAGAAAAATCTCTTTAAGACTTTTCCTCATCCCCTTCTTTCCTCTCTCCTTTCTTTTTCCCTTTTTCTTCCCATAAGACACTGAGCTTTGTAATTATTTCCCAAACTTCAAATACTCAATATTATTTGTTAATCATCTAAGTTAAGAAACAAGAGTTAAATTTGTGATTCTTAAACTTTATGCTTACAGTTCAAAGAGGTGCGCTCTATGAGCTTGTAGTCTGGTGCTGTTTGAGATAATTTAAAAAAAAAAAACAAGAAATGTAAATCAAATAAATGCAGGGTACTGGTAGTTCGCAGGAGATATTCATGGAAAGAAGAAGTGACTGATAAGTCCAACTGCTAACTGGGATAATTCAAAAGTGCAATTTCAGAGCGTGGCCCAGTGATAGACATTGGTGGTAAACAAAGGTAGCCCGATGAATTATATTTACTCAGAGGTTAAAGTAATTATGTATGGGAAGATGTTCCCTGAACTCAGAGCTGGTTGGCAAGCCCACAGTAAAAGAACAATACTTAGGATGGGGATTCCAAGAAGGCAGAACCAATTGACAGGTATTGTGTGTGTTGGCTGAGTAAAGGCTTGAGGCCTGCATGAGGGAATATTATGTGAAGCTTGTTTATGGACCAATAGCAGATCTCGCCTCACCCCATGCGCAACCTGTTTCTTCCCTCCCCCTCTTTTTACCATAATTTTAATCATAATTTATATCAGTATAGCTACTATGTATGTATATACGTATGTATATGTATGTATATATTTTTATTGTTTTTAACCTTGTAAACCACCCAGAGTAATCTTGCAATGAGATGGACCCCAAGCAAATGTAATAAACAAAAATATTTAAGTTATTATGGATATCACAAAGAATATGAAAAAGTGGGGGAGAAGGGACTGTACTCTGGAATAGAAAAACAAATCTGCATTTTCTTCCTACAGTTCTTATGGTTTGTATGATGAAAGAGAATTTGCTTCAGAAATACTCTGAGGAAAAAAAATAGTTTTAGATAAATGTTCCAAGGTGGAATCTGGGGTTGTTTAATTATAGAGTGGTCAGGATGTGTATGTGTGTTTGTGGATGTGAATATATTATCTTTTACTATACAATCATCTCTTATTTGCCTGCAGATTCCCATGCTTATCATCTCTTATTTGCTCCCCAGATTCCCATGCTTAAATTAAATTCAAATGGAAGAAATTGTAAGTTTCAACAGCAGCAATATTTTTACCACTATCAGAATCTTGCATTCAATATCTTTTCTGGAAGAAAATAGCAGTAATCCCTCACCTAATTTCTATGCCCATAAACTTGATGGAGAATTTTGAATGGCCATTTCTGCTTAGCTCTCTTTGTGTGGAGCTCTGTAGTGATTCATTTGCATGTTTGAAAACATGCACCATGAAGTATCATGCAAATAAGGGCATATCAATTTTGAGTTCCAGTCTTAAGGATACTTTGAATATATGATACTATCCAGCTAAGCAAGGTACAGAAGATACAAAATCTAGAATCTATTTTATTCAGCATGCAAAACTTATTCTTTGAGCTGTAGCTTTTTCCTTCCCTAGTTTACTTCTCAAATATCCTATGATGAGACAGGAATTTACAGCAGACTGACATGAACTGTCCAAGCAATCTGTTTGTGCCAGTGTCTCCAAATACTTGAACTCAATATGAGTTATCTCATATGTTTTTTCAATCTCTGAAGCTAAATTGGAAAGTTTTTGTTAGAAAGTTGGAGGTTCTGGAACTTTGCCTCTTTATTTCCTAATCTAGGTTTGTAGCTAGTTTTCACCATCTCAGTCATCCAAACCACCCGTAGGTTAAAAAAAAACCTATAGCAAATTAAAAAGACATTATTTGCAACCCAAGGAAAAGCAGATGGCTGATCACTGCTCATGCACTTTCCCATGTTTGTCACCTTGTTAAAAATAACATTAGGGATAACTTGGTTTCTGATAATTTCATTTCCTAGATATTTAAAGCCTCTGACAGAGCAAAGACTTGGAACATAACTAGATTGTACCTATTATATAGGAAATTTAATCCCCTAAAACTCTACAATGTAGTCATCAGTGTGAAAATAAGAAAATATTTCTGTCCTGTTCTATGATATGGAGAGGTACATCAAAACAATTATATTTTACCATCTGCCTTTGTCATGAATCACGATGCATTCAGATTTAGGCATCCATTACCCATGTCCAGTTAAAAACACAATGGGCCAACTGAGACTGTCTTCAGTAGGAAAGCCTGCTACAGATATGGAAAACCGTATCTGAACAGAATTTTCCCAACAATATTGCAGAATAGCTGATAAGGAAAAAGTAGTAGTAACAAGCTCATCACTTCTGAAAATCTGCAGTATATGAATAAAGCTAGAAATGCGAAAACCAAATGCTTCTCAGCCTGGGAAGGATTTCTATTCCTTCTCTGCAAGCAGAACACCCACATTTTTTTAATTGGATCATACTATTTTTAAAAAAATAATAATCAGGAATTCAATCTGGCATATATAACATTCCATCTTCCAATCTGTCCCTGTAACCACAACCCTGGACAATAGGCTGAGCTAAAAAAGAATGAGTTATAATATTTGTTGTGACATGGAGAACTGCATTTGATGGCTGTAGATAGTTCATTTATTTTCATTCCATAAATTACTCCCAGTCAAATTAACTTGGCAACTAAATGGATCACTTATAATTGTAATTTTGAAACCAAATGTTTTCTTGTATATATGTATATGAATAGATACATTTATATTTTTCCTCTGTTTATTTTGCCCTTTTTGCATCTTTCTATTTGCTATTGCTGAATTCCATCACATCAACCACTTTTGAGTATTGAAGAAATACTTTCTCTCTATGGTTTTGGCCAACTGTTCTACCATAACAGAGAATAAGTTGCAATGTAAAAATACCTGGAGTTTTAAAACTTCAATTAGTCATTTGTATGCCCATTTTTATTATGCTGGAAAGACTCTAAGAAAACTGTTAAAGATGGAACATCTTTCTGTGAATTATGAAAGAAATACAAAATGTCTGCATGTAAACAAAAGATGATATATTTCTCAAAGTTTGAACTGTCCAGAAAATACAGGATTCTGCCTTTAACACTAGCAATTTAAAATTCCTTCTAATGCTGGAAGCACCTACCAGCCTTGGGGATTGTTTCCAGGTTTTTGTTATGCGAGTTGCCTATAAACTGGACTTCTGTGCTGAATTCCTGTTCTGGAAGAGCCGTGTGCTTCCCTTGCTCTTGCAAGATATGATGGAAAACTGCAGCCAAGTCTGCTTCTGCTACCATGGAGTCCTTCTGCATGGAGGCTTCCTCACCATTTGGAAAATCTTCAATGCTCTAAGAAGAATCATCTGTTGGTATTAATAAGCAGGCTACATATTCTCTCATTTGCACACTTACAATTGTTCTTTTCCAACAACTTCTTAATCCAAGAGCATTACCATCTAGCTTTAATCAGTTGTGGTGTAATACTCCTTGTGTGTCAAAAACATGCAAACACATTTTCATGGGGCATAAACATGGTAGAACCTGGTCAAAGTGAATGAAATGGGTAAAGACTACCTTAAAAGTGAAAGTTGGCTCTCAAGCCAAATTTTTTCATATTTGACAGAAATTCAACCCATGTCTACCTACATTCTGAAAATGTAGCAAAACTGAACTCATCCAAGATGCCAAAGGTAGCAAACTCTTCCCTAAGAAGCTACAAACCCAAGTTATGTTCTCTCATCATGAAAGAATCAGTTAATGAGATCAGATGCTCATTCCAGGAGGTGCTGCAAAGAAATAGTTTCTGTTGAGAGACTCATGCTGTTGACTACATTGAACATTTTGATTTTTTCTGAAAAAAGCCCAGAGCCCCAAGCATCTCAATAGATTTTCAACAGCCTTAGTTTCAATACATTTCTCACATTAAAAACTCTTAGGCTACACATTGGACTAATGAAATACAATGAATAGAAAATAAACTGAAAGAAGAGGAAAGGACCATAGATTCAGACCACCACCAGATCCCTAATACCTGAAAGTCTTCTTTCCCAGAAAGCTGGACAGATTGACGGCGAGATTGGGAAGAATATTCTGAGTCGGTTTCAAAATCAAAGGAATGTACAGAAAGTAGGCGCTTTTTCTTGCGCATCTTAGGAAGCATAAAAAGTGAAAGATTTAAAATTTCACCACAAATACAAGGCATTACATTTCACATGATCTTCAACAAAGGATAACATCCCTCCTGTTATTTACTGTGTGATAGTAGCACTCTCAACTAGAAAGGCTTCAGCCAAGATATTCCTCGTTTTCACCAGGCCTCTGCAGGTGGTTACACCTGGTTGATCTTAACTCAGGAGATTAAACTGCAAGAAGCATTGCTTAAACCTGGGAATATCAGGGCTGTAGGTGAGTAATAAAAAAAAAATATCTTGAAAGAAGACATTAGGAAAGATTCCTTCCTTGAGAATCCAGACATGCACGAGCACATTTCTGGAAATGTATCGGAGTTACTAGGACTCTTGTTTGGACTGTTCAAAACCAAGAGAGATTTGTCAGAAAGCTACAGTAAAAAGAAGCACCATTTCCCAGATAATCTCAGGGGGGGAGGGGGCGCAGTGAGGAAAGGAAAGGGTGATATGATTTAACAATGAAGTTACACATTGTGTAAAACATGCATGGAAAAAAAAATTGCATGAATTATCCTTACCCTGGCGTAAGACTCAGATTCTGCTCCATCCACATCATCACTTGTTTCCCCTTCCTCACTCTCATTATTCCTGTACAAGTGATAATCACCTGGATAAGAAAGACACATACATATATGCAAACAAACGTATGTTGATCAGAGGGGCTATCAGCTCAGTTACAGACCACATTTTACATTCCAGAAGATGTCAGGTTCAATTGCTGCCATCCTCATTTCACTGATTTAGAAACTGATATTGCTGTATATGCATTCCTAATAATAATTTGACTTCTCATTTACTGTCATCTGCTCCATTGAATGCCCTTCTTACAATTGTCCTGCAAGCAACAGCTAGTGAAAAGTATTCTCATATAAAGACACTGTTGAAAGCACTTGTCCTTGTGCTGTTGGCTAGTTAGGCTGACAAATGAAAGCAATTTGGAAGGCAGCATACCTGGGATATCATTTTCTCCCACTGTAGATTAGTCAGACCACTGTAATAACCACATGAGGTCTTCTTGGTGGTACCACTTATTAGTATTCATTAAACTCTACCCATAAAGAGGCCCTTACATCTCATGATAGTATTGACACATGATATTCACAGCGACTGGTTATATTATAGGGTGACTCTTTATGGATTGTAATTAATGTTAAAATTTAATGTTGCACATTATCATCTAAAATTAATGATGTTAAATGTTGAAATTTTATCAGAAAAAAAACAGGACATTCCTCAAGGTGATTGTATATACTGTATAGTTTTCTGACCACTTATAGTGATCCACAACAGACCACAGGATTCCATTGAGATTTGTCTCAGTTTGACCAGGGCTCAACTGGAGTCAGTCTATCTACTTTGAGACAAATCCAAAATGAGATTCAGAAATTGAGCTATTTTTTGTTCCCTTGGCAAGTATGGAACAACATAAACAGCTCTAAATTTTATCTTATAATAGACTTGGATTTTTTCAGACACATTAAAGTGCATGAGGGAATGCATCCTGCCAAGATTCATTGAAATATGTTTAGGAATTTTAAGCTATACTTCTGTGACTTTTGATTGTTTAACCAGAAAGTGCCTGTACCTAGGTTGTTTGAGGACATAATTTGAAGACATGTTAAACCAGTGTTCTCTGGAAAACCATTGTAGCCAGTTGATAAGTAAAAGATTTCTGGTTAAATGGAAGGAACTCCAGAAAGAGAACTGATTTCCAAATAATATGTTGGGTTGCTTTGGGGTGGGTAGAGAGGAATGAGAAATTAAGAGAAAGGAAGAAATTTAATGAAAACTCTGAATGGAAAAAAAGGAGAAAAATGAAATGAATCATTTGCTGAACAAAACTGAACTAAACTGCAAGGAAGATGAAGCAATTTAAAATAAAACAAGAAAACTTAAAACAAAGATCAGATCTCGGAACCAACAGGTAATGATACAATAACAGCTTAAACAATATGTTTATGATGACACACTTAAGAAATTAGGAACAAAGACATGGAACAATCTCAATCAAGGAATCAATACTTCACACTTCAATTGCTGCGAATGGAATGGCCTTTTGGTCCAATTCTCAAATGGTTCCCCCCTCCCCGCCAAAGCTATTTTCTTAAAAGAGCACTGTTTCCTTAAAGTCCTGTTTTGCATTAGCAAGCTACATCTTGGAAGTGACTAAGGGCAAATCACTTCTGTATCATGCCCCAAAAAATTGAACTGATGTGTCTGTATAAATCATCAACTCAAAGGCAATGTTACAGTTTTTGTCCCATTTCTACTCAGGACATCAACATCTCATGCCCATTTCTAGGGTTTTGGGGTTTTTTGTTTGTTTGTTTTGAATGGATGAATTCCTGCCTACAGTACAGACTCAATGTCTGAAATCTGGAATAGTAAGAGACTCAATTTTCAAGATTTTTTCAAAAGGACAACACTATTTTAAGGTCTAAAGAATTTGTACATGGCCATGAAAAAAGCAACTTACTGGTGACATCTGGCAAGCTATGTATTCTGCCACTCAGACCTAGAATAAAAGAAATTAAGCTATTTTAAATCAGACTTTAAAGTAAACATGATGTAGGGTCAATTACATTTATCAGAGTTCATAGCTAATCAACAAAAAGCAATAGAAAATAGCAGCCTTTTATGTATCTGTGAAATGGCGTACAAACCATTAAAAGAATGTGCTAAACAGTTAATAATTATGCAAACTTGGAATGTGATAGGGACATTGCTGCATTCCACTGATTGCTCCTGCACCATGAAATATGTGCAAGAATAAGAGAGACACCCCCTAAACACACTCATATAATTAATTGTGCCAGCCTTTCTCAAAGCCTGTTGATTTAGCAAAATAAATTATCAGAATGACAAAAGGACAGATTATCTGACTTTTTCAAACTTGAATCTATGAGGGACCTACATCTGATGGTGCCAGGAGGCAGAGTAGGGATCACCCACCTTATGGAATATTTTCCCTTCAAATTTTGGTTTCCTTCATCACTGTTAATATTCAAGAAGGGCCCTTAAGGTTGGCTATGACAAGGGTTTGGGGGTCCTAGAGAACCAGTGACATTTTAAGGTAGTTTCCTTATAATGGGTGAAATGTGGTTGTTATATTTTTTTTCTGTTTGTGGTTTGTATACTTCACTTTTGGATGATTTTCTATTTTTAATCATTATTGTTTATATTTTATATTTATATTTTCTATATTATAATGAATGCTTTTATATTGT